TTCTAGTCTATGAGCATGGAATATCTTTCCATTTATTTGTGTCTTCTTCAGTTTCTTTCCTTAAAAAAGTAAAAATTTAACCTCCTTGGTTAAATTTATTCCTAGATATTTTGTGTGTATGAGAGGAAGATTTGCCGTGAGCTAACATCTGTTGCCAGTCCTCCTCCTTTTTTGCCTGAGGAAGACTAGCCCTGAGTTAACTAATTTGCCAGTCTCCTCTACCTGGTATGTGGGTTGCCTCCACAGCATGGCTGATGAGTGGAGTAGGTCCGCATCCAGGATCCAAACCTGTGAACCCTGGGCCACTGAAGTGGAGCACACAGAAGTTTAACCACTTGGCCACAGGGCCAGCCCCTATTTTATTCTTTTTGATGCAATTGTAAATAAGATTGTTTTCTTAATTTCTCTTTCTGATAATTCATTATTAGTGTATAGAAACACAACAGATTGTGTATTGATTTTGTATCTTGCAACTTTACCAAACTTGTTTAGTAAACTAATAGTTCTAACAGATTTTTGATAGAGCCATTAGGGTTTTATCGATATAGTATCATATCATCTCCAAATAATGACAGTTTTACTTCTTCCTTTACAATTTGCATGGTTGTTATTTCTTTTCCTTGCCTAATTTTCTCTAGCTAGGACTTACAATACCATGTTGAATGAAAGTGGCAAGAGTGGGCATCCTTGTTCCTAATCTTAGAGGAAAAACTTTCAGCTTTTCACTGTTGAGTATGTGAGCTGTGGGTTTGTTATATATGACCTTTATTAAGTTGAGCTATGTTCCCTCTCTGCCTGCCTTTTTTTTTTTTTTTTTAAAGATTTTATTTTTTCCTTTTTCTCCCCAAAGCCCCCCAGTACATAGTTGTGTATTCTTCGTTGTGGGTTCTTCTAGTTGTGGCATGTGGGACGCTGCCTCAGCGTGGTCTGATGAGCAGTGCCATGTCCGCGCCCAGGATTCGAACTGACGAAACACTGGGCCGCCTGCAGCGGAGTGCGCGAACTTAACCACTCTGCCACGGGGCCAGCCCCCATCTGCCTGCCTTTTTGAGAGTTTTTACGATAAATGGATGTAGAATTGTGTCAGGTGCTTTTTTTGCATCTATTAAGATGATCATATGATTTTTATCCTTCATTTTGTTAATGTGGTGTATCACATTGACTGATTTGCAGATGCTGAGCCATCCTTGCATCTCTGGAGTAAATCCCACTTGATCATGGTGTATGATCCCTTTAATGTATTTTTGAATTTGGTTTGATAATATTTTAAGAGTTGATTTTTACATCAATGTTCATCAGGGATATTGGCCTGTAATTTTCTTCTGCCGTTCCCTCCTCTTCTTATTTCTGGAAGAGCTGGAGAAGGATTGGTATTAATTCTTCTTTGAATGTTTGGTAGAAGTCATCAGTGAAGCCATCTGGTCCTGGACTTTTGTTTCTTGGGTGGTTTTTGATTACTGATCCAATCTTATTAATAGTAGTTGGTCTGTTCAGATTTTCTATTTCATCATGATTCAGTCTTGGTAGGTTGTATGTTTCTAGGAATTTATCCATTTCTTCTCATTTGTCCAATTTGTTGGCATATAATTGTTCATCGTAGTATCTTAGGATCCTTTGTATTTTTGTGGTGTCAGTTGTAATGTCTCTTCCTTCATTTCTGATTTTATTTGAGTCTTGTCATTTTTTTTTTTTTTGGTGAGCCTAGTTAAATGTTTGTCAATTTTGTTTATCTTTTCAAAGAACCAGCTATTAGTTTCATTGATCTTTTCTGTTGTCTTTTTGTGTCTTTCATTTATTTCTGTTCTAATCTTTGTTATTTCCTTTTTTATGCTAACTTTGGGCTTTGTTCTTTTCTAGTTCCTTGAAGTGTAAAGTTACGTTATTTATTTGAGACTTTTTTTGTTTCTTGAAGTAGGCATTTATTGCTATGAAATTCCCTCTTAGAACTGCTTTTGCTGTATCCCATAAATTTTGGTGTGTTATGTTTCCATTTTTGTTTGTCTTTTGTATTTTTTTATTTCTATTTTGATTTCTTCTTTGACTCACCCGTTGTTCAGTAGTGTGTTGTTTAATCTCCACGTATTTGTGAGTTTTCCTGTTTTCTTCATGTAATTCATTTCTAATTTCATATCATTGTGGTCAGAAAAGATGCTTGATATGTTTTCAGTCTTCTTAAATTTATTAAGACTTGTTTCTTGGCCTAATATATGATCTATCATGGAAAATGTTCCATGTGCAGTTGAGTGGAATGTATATTCTGTTGCTTTTGGATGAAGTGTTCTGTGTATATCTGTTAAGTTCTTGTGGTCTGATGTGTCATTTAAGGCCACTATTTCCTGATTGATTTTCTGTCTGTATATCTATCCATCAATGTAAGTGGGGTGTTAAAATCTTCTACTGTTGATCTCTGCTATCTGTTTCTCCTTTTAGAACTGTTAATATTTGCTTTATATATTTAGCTGCTCCTGTGTTAGGTGCATATTTATAAATGTTATATCCTCTTGTTAGATTGACCCCTTTATCGTTATGTAATGCCTTTCCTTGTCTCTTATTACAGTCTTTGTTTTAAAATCTCTTTTGTCTGATATAGGTATAGCTACTCCAGCTTTCTTTTGGTTTCCATTTGTATGGAATATCTTTTCCTATCCCTTCACTTTCAGTCTGTGTGTGTCATTACATCTAAAGTGAGTCTCTGGTAGGCAGCACATAAATGAATCTTATTTTTTTATCCCTTCAGCCACTCTCTGTTTTGATGGAAGAATTTAGTCCATTTACATTTAAAATAATTATTGATAGGTGTGTATTTATAGCCATTTTAATTGTTTTTTTTGCTGTTTTTGTAGTTTCTCTCTGTTTCTTTCTTCTCCTCTTGCTCTCTTCCTTTGTGTTTTGATAACTTTCTTTAATGGTATGTTTATATTCCTTTCTCTTTATCTTTTGTGTATTTACTATAGGTTTTTGCTTTGAGGTTGCCATGAAGCTTACATATAACAACTTATATGTAATTTGTGTTCTTTCTTTGCTAGTTTTCTCTCTTCCATTTTTTTCTTTTCTCCCCTTATGGAAAAACTCTTATGATTTAGTTATTAGACCTCCTAGAATGATTCTCTACTTTTCTTGACTTTACTTCTCTATTTTATATTTTTTGGTCTTTTTTCTATACTTTCTAAAATTTCCTCAATTTAATTTTTTCTATCAGAGTTTTAATTTTTAAGATATTTTACTCTGAATCTGCCTTTATTATTGTATCCTGTTCTTTTTTTATAATTGTGATGTCTTATCTCTCTGAGGATATTAATGATAGTTTTGTAAGAATTATTCTCCCTTCACAATCTCTGTTTTTACCAAGTTGCTCTTTTCTGTTTGTTTTTGTCTGTCTCTTTCAACTTACAGCCTGTCCTCAGACATCTGATGCTTCTTGATGGAGTGTTCATAGTTAGGATTAAGGGACTGAGAGCTCTGAGTCCTGAGGTGGGATTATTGACTCTGAGCTTGAATTTTGGGTGATCTTCCTAAGATGTAATCTTTCCTCTTGGGCTTGTTGGATTCCCCATAAAAGACTCTTCTGATCGCCTACCTAGAGAGTAAAGGTCTGGTTACCAACATTCTGGGACCAATGGGGAACAAGAGCTAGGGGAATCAGTGTGACACTAACTTAATCCTATTGTTTTGCCACACTTCAACTCTTGACTTCTTATTGTTTCTCAGCCCAGTGACCTCCTGTTTTATTCACATCAGAGAGGTAATCTGTAGTGTTCCACCAAGTGGGAAAGAGGTGGTCACCAAGTAGCTATGAGGTGGGGATCTGACTACTTCTTATAGCCACTTCAGCTCTACTTTCAAGGTACCTGATGCCCCTAATTCCTGCGCCTTTTGGAGATTTGTGGGATAAATTTGGTTGATTCTCAGCCTTTTCTCCTTTTCTCTTCTTCCAGACCTTGAGAGTGTATGCCTTTTAAAAAATCTTCTTATTCTTACTTTGGTAGAGTTTTAGGAGGTATCAAACTAGATGCTTGTATTCAGTCTTCCTTCTTTTCCCAGAAGTTCATCTGTCCTATTTTCTAAGCCCAAAGAAGTAGGAGAGAGAGGAAATGAAGTAATTTGTCAAGGATAAAAATGAAAGGGCTTTCATACACACCCTTTCTTTTCACCCTAATTGATGATAAGCTTATTGGAGCATCTTAATTTGAACCTCTGTATTCCCTGGCATGAGCAAACTATTCCACTTGGTACCAATTTCTGCTAGCATGTAATACCATCTGAAAGCAAGCAACAGAAAAATTGAAATATTTACTAAGTACTTTCATTGGACAATTCACTGTTCCACGTGTTGTAGCTAGATTTACAGGGGGAAGCATACTTTTCATTTCAAAATCTTGGAAGAAGGAAAATGAATCAGGGGACAAAAGTGGGAGCCATGACTGTGATATACTACATTTTACCATATAACTTGGTGGACTTGTTTTTTTTTTCACTTCTACAGGACTATTAATGAATTTTTTTCCATGACAATGTGAAAAGCTAAGATGATATATTTTTTTTGATCATCAAGATATAGTAAAAGCTCTATTTTTAGTTTGATTAGAATATTGAATATAGTAGTTTATAATATATATTGTGTTGATTATATTAGTCATATATATTTATCATATATTATTTGTGCAAAATAAATCTAGTAGGGAAAGTTTTGAGTCTTTTTTCCAATGGATTAATAGTATTTAGCAAAATAAAGTTTCTACAGAGGAAAGTCCTGAATCAGTGTAGAAGAAATAGCATTAGCCTGAGTCAAGAAACTTAAATTCTAATTTTGACTCTGTCAGTAGCCATCTGTGTTACTTATCAAATCACTACATTTTTGAGCTTCTTATTATAAAGTGAGAATTTTTCTTTGAATCGCTTTTAGCCCAAAATTCAACGATTCTAATTAGTTCTCTCTTTTAGGACGTCACATTAATGCCTTATCTCACAAGAGGGCTTAGTTCTCATTCCTTTTATTTCAGACAAGATTCCTGTGCTAAGCAAAGAAAAACTACCTGTGGTGGGAATTGGGAAGCATCTGTGTGGTATGGCAACAGGTATGTAAACATGTTAATAATGTCTAGATAAACAGTAAGCTTTAGCTTAACATGGTCCCGACCATTTGAATAGTCTCTTTTGAATCTTATATCATTTATGTTACAACTCATTAATCTTCAAGTACCACTGGCCTTGTATTATATTGGATTCAGAGCTTTCCTATTTATCTGCTCATTTTGGCCATTTGTAGAATGAATTGAAGAATTTTATATGTAAATACTGTGTCATATGGGACCTTAAAGTTCTTTGGGCTATTTTTCAGCCCAAAAGGAAATGAATTATTTATGGAAACTGTATGATCCCACCCCCGAAACTAGTGACTTTTTTAGAGGAGTTGCTGGGAAGGACTCAGAAACCTCTCTCACTAGAAGGCGATTATGTATCAGGATTCTGGGGAAAAAGAAAAATGTTAGACCAAAATCAAATTCTAAGGTGTCTTATTTTAGCACTTCTATCCATCAGATCTAGCAGGGTAAAGTGGAAAGACCATGGGCTTTGAAATCAGATAGTCCAGGGTTCAGCTCTGTTCTGTAACCTTGGCAAATTATTTAACCATTCTGAGCTTTGGTTCTCTCATCTGTAAAGTGGGGATAATAATATATATATGATTTACCAGGTTACATGCAAAGAGTCTCTGGTGCATATTTGTGTCAATAAATGTTAACTATTGTTACATCATCTTCCTGGCTTTTGCTAGTTTCATTGTTCACCCATATAGGGAACTTGGAGCTTCTATAAGACGTTATTCAAACTGGCTGGAAATGGCTTTGAGTATTATGTATTTGTGTTGTCCTTCATAGTTTTTAGATGACTTTCATGTACCTTATCTCATTTAACCCTCATAAAAGCCTTCTGAAGTCAGCAAGTTCTATCCTGGGGAGGAAAAAAAGCATACTCCTTTACTCCTACCAATCTGATCCAAATTTCTTAGGACTATAGTCTATACTGGCCATTTCTCGTGTTCCACACACTTTCGCCCTCTTTCGCCACAGGTAAGAATTCACTCTTATCTGAATTCTACCTTCATCACTCTGTCATCAGCTTACTGAGAAATCTCTCCTGCAATGGCTTGCCCTTCTTGAAATTCTCATTCCTTGTCTTTTGTGACACTCTTCTTTCCTGGTTCTTACCCTACTTCTATGCTATTCTTTCTCTGTTTCTCTCGTGGTCTCCTTCCACTACCTGTCCTTTAGATATTAATATTTAGACCCATCTGCTGCACACGTAATGTCTTGCCCCTATCTTCAAACTCTTCCGTGGCTCCCAGTCCCTGTAGCATAATGTCGAGGCTCTTTAACACGACATCCTAGTCTCAGTCTGGTCTCTGCCTTCCTCTCTTTGCCACTTCCTGCCTCCAGCTTTACTGGTCAGCAAATTCAAACCCCATGTACTTTTCCCATTTACTATACTGAGTCAATTTCTAAAGTGGCCAATTTCTACTCATCCTTCAGCTCAGTTGTCACCACTTTCAAGGAGCCTAGTTAAACAAGATAGTCCTCCTAAGGATTTATCATAATACCCTCTGCATGTCTTTACCATATTGTGTTTTAATTATCTGTTTATATATCTAATTCTCCCACTGTGCTGTGAATTTTTTCAGCGTAGGGAGTGTGCTAACATGATGCTTGATACATAACAAAATCTCGGTAAATGTTTGAATGCATGAGTGATCTTGGCCACCAATTTGCTTTTTTCTTATCCCTTTCTAGATATGTGGCTTTGTCCTTTAAATTGTAAAGAAGAGATTGAGATAGATTTTTTAAGCTCCTTCTGGTTCTAAAATAATTTCATTTTTTAAATAATTTTTCTGGTTATTCACATTTCTGAAGATCATTTACCTAAGTCCAGTATAGGTAAAACAGTGACTAAATATATTTTTTAAGAAAATAATAGTTTATGAAATAATAGATTAGCTATTGCTTTCTCCAAATAATAGGTTACTAATGATGTTTGTGGACTTAAATTCATATATTAGATTAAATTTACTCGTGAAATATCAGATCATTTAGTGTTCACTTGTGACATCTTAGGGTAATCAAATTTAAACATACACGTTTTCCATTGAACAGGCACAGCATGACAGCCTAATCAGACAGAAAATGTGGGTTTTACAGCGTATATTCAGAGTCTTTCCAATAATGTCAACAATATAGCGCTCTTCAGTGGGAAGTAGTTATAGTCATCAAAAAATCCATTTGTTTAGTTTTTAAATGTAGTATAAGTTTTTCATTTTAATATGGAGTACATCCATCTCTAAGTTTCTGTGTATGAATCATCAATACATCCAAAAAGCCTTGCAGATGAAAGATATTCAGTAACTATTTGCTGAATAAATGAATAAATACAGTGAGGCTACTCAGTGAGGCCTACTTTCTACATTCTGCTCCCCTCCTCTCAGCTTTTTGACTCATCACTATTTGCTGTGAACATCTCACGTTTCAGGACTGACACCTAACATCAGTCTTAGCAGATGCTTAGCAGATGCCTTTCCTCTTTATTTCTTTCCTTGGGTTTCTTAAGCTCAAAATTTCCCTGGAATGTAAGTGTAGGTAAATACGTTTTTTCTATACAAGTCATTTCCTCAGCTAGGGTAGGAGAAGTGAGAGCCAATTCGACTAGTTGAACTGAAAGTTTTTGCAAATTGTAGATCTTAAGCTTCAGAAAGTTTTAGTGGAAAGTAGACTTTATGCAGCATAAATCACTGAAGAAAGTGAGACAGAGCAAATAGGAAGAGTTGGTAATTCATGAAAGAATTACTGCAAGTATAAAGCTAAGTAGGTTTTTGTTGGTTTTGTTGCTGGGTTTTTAAAAACCATACTGCTTAATAAATGTAAAAAATATTTATTTTTAAAGATGATGTGGTTTGGGGGGGGCCACATAATTGTGTTTGCAGATCTTGCATTACGATGTTTGGTTGAAACCTATGCTGCCAGTTGTGAGGAAAGGAATGAAGAACCTTTAGCCAAACGCATAAAGAATGATAAAACAGAGAAAGAAATTAACACTTTGGCCAAGGAAGGAAATGAAAAAAATGTCCCAGAGAAGTGGACCCCTGTGGCTGGCATTGTTATTGCACTCTGTTGTCACCACAGGTGTGATTGGAGACATTATGTGGGCAAAGAATATTTCAAGGCTCTAGGCCTTGGAGCAGTGGAATTCCACTATTTCCAGCGAATGAGTAGTTGGGCAACTTGTGGAATGCGGAAAACATCTTTGGAAGCCTCAAATAGTACCCCAGTGAGAAAAGATAATCAGAATGATGACAGTGAAGAGCATGATGATGGGAGATACAGAATCACAGAGGACAGCGCTGAGAGTTTGCCTGGGTAAGTGACTACTTTGAAATGTATAACACTGGGGCAGAAATATTTTATTATTGCTGTACTGTCTTTTTAAATGAATATTATCATAAACTTATTCATGAAAATGTATTTTACCTTCTAATTTTAGAATAAGTTAAAATACACACCTTTTCATTGTGGTCATAAATAAAATGTATCCTGAAAGTGTGGGACATATTACATAGTAAATTGTGGGTTATTTAGCAGCTTACCAATAAATGGAAGTGACTAAAATAGTTTTGTAAACTTCTACAAAATTCTAAGAAGGTTTTGTGTCTGTTTATTTGATTTAGGTTTCTTACTGTTGAAGAAAAGAAGAAACTAGGGCATCTTTGTAAATTGCTGATTGACCAAGGCCGAATCGAGTATTTACAGCAGAAGGGATTCCGTCCCGCTCTTCAGTACTATACAGATCCTTTGGTGTCTTTGGAAAATGTATTGTTGACTGCTTTACCAAAACATTCTTCATTACCAGAGACAACTGCTTAATGGAAAAGAAATTTTGAACAACTTCTGTCTTCCACAAAAAAAATAACATTTTAAATTGTATTTTTATATTCATGAAAATATAGTTTAAATAGCAGATAACGTGAACTTTAAAAAATGTTGTGACCTCATGGAACTTTGGTAATAGCTTTTTTACTTTAGAAGTTCAAACATTAGAGAATTCACCAAATTCCCAAAGTAATCCTCTTCAGCAGGTGTCTTGAATTCTATTATCCATCTGTATTTTCAGAGATTGATAAAGTAGTTGGACAGTTCACTTGGTTCTCTGAAACACACACAACACGTCAACGTATGAATAGCACATTAACTTTCTATTTGCATTAATTTTGGAAATTTATTTTCCTTTGATCTTATTTAATACTTCTTATTTCCCAAATTCAAGATGTAATGAACAATTGTCAGTTTGTACAAGGGCCAATTTGAGAATTTGGCTTATGTATGGATTTTATTCCATGCAGAGCTGGAAAGGATAATCAATTAGGATTTTTTTCTAATGTAAACAAATTCAGAGATATTCACAATCAATTAATGAGTTCACCTTCAGATTTCCAGAGCCATACCTGTATCTATATATATCAGAATTTGTCCATGACAAACACCAAAACTAAAGAGATGTTTTTAAGGAAAAAAACTGTTTCACTTCATTTTTTTAATTGGATAATTACCTAGTTAAAACTTCCAAAAGGATATTTATAAGCCTAATTGACAAATTAAATTGAAATCTGAAGATAGATTCTGAAGTTAATTTGGTATCTCATATCCTTTAATAAGCCATTTTTACATGTGTAAGTACAAATATAAGTATGTTGTCTTCTCTTTGGGAAAACAATTTAGAATAAGGTGGAAATTAGACAGTGAAACCAAAAACCTTCTCACATTTAGGCCTCATTTAATTCATAAGCAGTTTCTATGCACAAGCAAATACTAAACCAAACATATGGTAAGACTGTTATTCTTTTCCACATCTTATCCTTGATTTGTGTCTGCCTTTATTTGTAAAAATTGTCTTAGTCATTGGTACATTTGCCAAGACAAAGATCTAGAATTATTAATGTTAGAATGATATTCTTAGGTAACTATTTTTATCCTGTAAGTCTGTGATTATATGAATTATAAATTAGAAGCCTAGCCTATTTTTAATTCCTGACCTTTCGACTTTAATCTCATGTTTTCTGAGATTACCTGGGTCCCAAAGCCAACCCTCCTGCCTCTCTGCTCTCTGACCTTGGGCAAGCTGTTTAATCTCTTTGTGCCTCAATTTCCTCCTCGTAAAATGGGGATGGTGATGATGATGATACCTACCTCACAAGGTTGTTGTGAACATCAAATGAGATAACATGTAAAATGCTTAGAACAGTTCCAAGCACAGAGTGAATACTCAGTAAATATTAGCTATTATTAATGGTAGTAATTCATGAACCTTTTAATAAGATAATAGGCAGACTTGGTTTTATTATCTCTTTAAGTTGTAACTTTTTTTCTCTTGTTAAGTTTTATGTCAAATGTTATTAAAGTAGCTTGACTATTTTTTAAGTTAATTACTCATGTCTCTCAATCAAGAGAACATAAATGAAGATAATACATCATTTAATAATTAACCTAATTTTACTGGGTCAGGCAATGGTACTTTGCGTCATACAATCTGTTTTGCATCTTTCGACTATTTATGCCCAGAAATAAAAGATATGCTACAACAGACATAATGTCAGTTATGTTTCATCAAACATACATGCATGCATGAAAATTAATACTGATACAGTCTTGTGGTCCATTTAGCTGAATGATATGTTTCTGACAATGATTCCAAGTACTTTATGGAAAGGAAAGCTTGTCCTTCACCACGGCAGCCGTAGGTCAAGATTATTGTTTTCCCCAACCTTGTTTATTTCCCTTAACATATCATGAGAAAGTGACTGTGTGGGATGTGCATATTGCTATTCCTTGGCCTGCAGAATTTCTCAGATTGAGTAAACCCCTTTTAAACTTCAGAGTCATCTATACAACTACCTCTTCCTGCATATCCCACAGATTTACATTTACTGTGTTAGAACTGAAGCTCATTTTCCAGTTCTGCCACCTGATTCTGCCCGCCAAATCAACTTCTGTATTTCCTTTCCCCATCTCAGCATCACCATCTCTCCAGTTGCTCTGATCGAAAACTGAGATTCATCCTAAACTCCTCCCTTTTCTCAACTTTATTCAGTCATCAGTTCTGTCTCCTCCTTATCTTTTATATGTTTATCCTCCACTTTCCAAAACCAGGCCCCAAACTGTTAGGTTTTTACTTGTCTTCCTCCAATCCATCCTGCATGCTTTTGTTTCTTTGACCTTGCTACAACAGATCTAATCATCATTTCCTAAACATCCCCTATTGGATGTTGGTCAAAATTATTTCCTCTAGCTCAAAAAATCTGTAATTGTTTGCTCACATTATACTCATTCTTCAAAGTAACTATTTGAGTATGTAACTAAAATCTATCTTTTAACTCGAAAACTCTCGACATTTTAGTGAATTATAAAACCATGATTTCTATTACTAAACTGTTTTCATTAACAGAGAATTTTGCTCTTTGTCTCTTCCCTTAACCTTGGATTAAGTTAAAGGCTTTCCTTCTTTAGTTTAAAAAAAAAAAGTGGTTTAATTCTAAATTATCAGAGACTAAGTGATTGAAATCTGTGTATCAAAACCTCACATTTTAACTATTGGTTAAAATCTGTTCTCTTAATATTTTTCATTCCTAGGCAAAATTTTATTTTGTTACTTGTGGATTGTTGAAAATGGGGAAATGGCAAGGAAGGTAGTGTTCTAAGAGTAAACTGACATATATGACAAACTGATAGAGTGAGAGAGTGGAGCTTTAAGAATCCCATCTTCATGCACTTGATTGTGCTTCGAGTGCTTGGCCAAAGAAATTTATTTTATTTTCTCACTCCGCTTGAAGGTCTTTGACTATCTTTACAATCCCTCTCTCCAAGCCTTTATCAAAATTGTGAACCGATTTGAATTTTGCCTTTTTTCCCTCCCACAATGTTGACCAAGAGACCAGAATTTGACAGAAAAGCTAAGGTGAAATGAGAAATCTATAAAGAAATTAATATATATAAACATTCCTTTACCAAAAAGAATATTTAACCTGTGTTACGTACAAATGTCCTACCTGCTCTTCTCCGTGACTCCTGTATGTATGTGTGCATAAACTGAAGTCCGAATAATTCCCGGTCCTCCTCATCATCTGCACTTTCACTGGGAGGAAGTGTTACTTCCAATTTCAATGGATTGTCTCTGAAGTTGACAAACCTAGCAGTTCACCAAAAAACAGTATTTTTATAGGTGCCATAGAAGTGTACATTTATTTCCCTGGAGAAAGATCAAATGATAATATTCTAAATTACTCTCTTTAACTGGTTTCAATAACTGAACATCTTGGTGAGATGTGATATATCCCAAGAATCTTTAAGTTTCTTTCCTAGAAGAAAAAAATATTAGCTTTAGACAACTTATTTTCACAGCTTGTAAAAGTAACTCTTAGTCTGTAGCATATATTTAATGTGCTACAGTTTAACTTCCAAGAACAATTCTAATGCATCTCAAATATACAATTAATGCTAGGAACTTAAAGTTTCTAGATATTTAGTAGACTCAATTGTGTGTTATCATTGTGTCTTCACCATCTAGTACAGAGCTCAGGAGTTGCTGAAGAAGTGAATGAATGATTTTGTTATGGAACTTGTGGGATTTGATGTGAATTCTCATGGCTTATGCTGTCAGGAAATTAAATTTTGGAAGGAAGATGCTTGAGGGAGTTCTGATAGTAATTAACTTAGTAAAAAGTTACATTTGCCTTATCTGTAACATAATTGCCTGTGTACATTTGTAGTTATTTAGAAGGAAAAGGATCACTGTTTTATGCTTTAGGTTTTTGTATCACAGATGAGGCTTGTTAGCAGTTATAAAGATGATTTTCATGAAAATGTCACCAACAGAGGGCATTCTTTAATGCTGATAAATCTCGGTACAGCTTTAATTTCAAGGATTCTCTATTGAATATTTAGACCAGTATTATATGAATCCTATTTATAAATTATAGGATTTCAAAGATGGAAAAGACTTTTTAAATGCATTCATATGAATTGAGAACTCAAGTCTATTTATAATAATTGTTCTATATTACTTTATTATGTAGCCAGAAGGGAACATGTTGGTTTTGTGTGTACAGCTTTTTACCTCAGATTGGTCATCTCTTCCATGCATGATGGAATATCTTGTAGTTTGTTGTTGCTGAGAACAAGAGTACCCAGATTTTTCAGATTGCTGATAGTTTCTGGCAAACATGTTATTTCATTCCGTTGCAGCCATAATGTGTGTAGATTTTGCATTCTAAAGAATTAGAGAGGTTTCTGCAATTAATCACACATAATATAAAAACCATGTTTCTTATTTACTTAAGAATCAAAGAAATGTCATCTTTTATAACATCTCCTTTAACCAGTATACCTATGAGTTAACCGACTTCACACTACCTGATTATTAGGGAAACTGCATCAGGGAGTTAATCTCTACAGTACAGCTCTCATGTGGTAGTAGAAATAAAATCAGCATATTCTAGAATTCTTTACTATTCTTATAGAATTTCTTAAAGAACTGTTGTAGATGTTATCTAATTTGTATTAGAATCTTAAGAGAAATATCAGAAATTATTAATATGACCATTTAAGTCAAAGCAAAGATGCATAATGGTTACCGCATGGATCTGGGGCCAGGCTGCCTAGGTTCAGATCTGAGCTTGCACACTGTGATCTTCAGCAATTTAGCTAACGTCTCTGCGTTAGTTTTCTGATCCGTTCATAAGGTGCACGGAAGTGCCTGGCATGCACTAAGCAGCATTGTTATCGTGGCATATTCTTGTCGATTTGTTGAAGTCAGATAGCCAGTTTTTCTCTCCCAAAACCCTTTTACTTAATTTGGAGTAAATGAAAATATTCTGTTAAAAAGTAGCATATTTAAAACTAAATGGATCTATTGTGATTGGTTATACTTGGGATCCCATTTGTTTTATTTCTTATTTATCCTAGATGACTTCAACACATCTATTGCATAAAACGTTTTTTATTTTACCTTTCTATAGTATCAGGAAGTTGTTCAAGTCTGTTGCTTCCCATGTCAAGCCACTCAAGGGCAGGCATGTTCAACACAGCAGGAGGGATTGTAGTAAAGTGGTTCATACTCAAATCAAGGTGAGTAAGCTTTAACAAATTGCTGAGCTGAAAAGGAAAGCAAGGTTTTTAGAATAAATGTCCACAGTGTAAAGTACTAGAACACTCATGTTGATAAAGGAGATATTTCACATCAAGGAATGTTCACGTTGTGCTTGGGCTGTAGTTAGTCCTAGTAGTTCGCAACAAATTTGAAATAAAAATAAAGCTAAGTAACCTCTAGATAAATGAAGAACTCTCATAGAAAGTTCATCTATTCAAAAAACATTTATCTCCCAAAATAACCAAGTTCCAAAGTTTTCAGAACCTGCGTGGCAGAAGCTTTTTTCTTCTTTCTGAGAATAAACATACCTTATGTTTTCCTTTCATCCGGTAGTTGAGATTTATATGGGAAAACCCAAGCTTCCAAATAATAGTTATCCTTAATGAACCCCCTTCTTCATGCCTGCTGCTTGACATATGCTATCTCAGTCATAAAACTTACTGTTTGGCAATTCTATTTCTTAAATGAAAACATCAATAAAAAATTTATTAAGAATAATATAACAGATACCAGTGTGCTCAGCTTAACAAAGACAATGTGTTGACATGACGGCACCCTCTGTGTACTCCTCCCTTCCTCCTCTCCTGAGGTAACTCCTGTCCTGAATTTGATATTTATCATTCCCATGCACTTTTTTAATGTTTTTATTATACATAAATATATGTTTTCTGTATATTTCTCTATATGTTTCATAAAATTTAGTATTTTTATATGTTTTTAAATCTTATTAAAGGTTACGATACTGTACTTATCTTTCTTTAACTTGCTTTTTTCTCTCAGTATCAGTTTTTAAATGTATTCATGGTGATGCTTATAGCTCTAGTTTTGCATGTTAAAATCTCCCTTTAGTTATCTGTGTTCCCCACCCCCAGTCTGAGAAAGCTGTGAGTACATGAATCATCCACTCTTGTACTTTAAATTAGTGAATAATTCTGACATCAGCTTACAAGGTGAGTACCTTCTTTCCATTTTATGGACAAAATGGCTTAGATAGACTATGTAACTAGAAATGATAAAGCTATGATGTACAGCACTCAAGTTTTCATGGACCTAAAGCCACAAAATTTCTTCCCTCTTTCCATATAACACCAGTGAAAGTTTCACAAGATGTGAGAATTTAGTTAACTTTTACAAAAAACTCTCCATTTATCTAGGAAGATTCTGTGTTTTATTTCTACCTCAGGACATGTTCAGATTCATTCTGCTTTAACACCACAAAAAAGTAAACAAATACGATGTTTTGTGAGTAATGCAAAAAAGCGGGAAGCTTCCATCCAGTAGGATGTTTCTCCAGCTTTAGAATTCAAGGCATGAATAAAACGTTTTTTCAAAATCTGTCGTCAGACTAAATTTTTCAGAGGGTTCAGAATAGAATATAAAAAGATTGTTTTTACATTAGCATAAGTATGTTTGTATAGGGGCTGCCCCATGGCCTAGTGGT